TGGGTTTCTCAGCAAGGGAAAGCCAGCGCAGTCCGCGGCCTTCTCTGCCCTGGCAGGCGCTGCGCTTCCCCAGGGATCGGGTTCCCACACTCAGGGCTTGGCCTTCCCAGGGGTTTTCGCAGAGCACCGTCTGGCGGGCAGCCGTTTCTCTTCAGCCTCGGAGCAGGTGGGGAGGAAAGAAAGAGCCCCCCCTCCCCGAGGTTACAGGCTTGCCCCATTAATTTCATTTCCTCTAATTATTTACATCTTGTTATTTTGGGGTTAATTGTCTCTGTTTCACTGCCATCTTCTGTGTCAGTGGTTTTTTTTAAATCTATTAATAGGATAGGATCTGTTTTTCTTTTGTTTTAAATGGATGTTTGTTACTGAATTTTATTTTATTTTATATTCGTGTTGTTTGTCGTAAGCCACCCAGTCTAGTGGCCTGGCCCCCCGATGGGTAGGGTAAAAACTTAAAATACTGGAGTAGTGTCCTTTTGGCCTGGCCTTCCTTCATCCCTCTTGATGAAGACTGTTGTTGGACCTCCTCAGAGGGGCTCCGTCTTTTCCTCCTTCTGCTCTCCTGATCTCTGAGCTTGGGTCTTCCCCCCCCCCACCACTTTGTGATTCAGCCCTGGGAGGGGGCGGCCCAGTGGCCCAGCAGCCCATGGGTTAGCATGGTTGCTGCCTTAAGAGCAGAGGGGCGGGAGGCGTCCCCTCAGGGTCCGCAGAGTCTCATGGCTGCCCCCCCAAAATGGTTTTTACGGAAGGGTTGGGGGAGGGTGGAGAGGCCCCCCTCCCCGGGGCTCCCCGGTCTTCTCCTGTCAGATTCTGGCTGCAAAGCTGCGTCACCCGTGCTGGAGGGGCCCCCTCCCTCCCTCCCTCCCTCCCTCCCTCTTTGCCTGACGGGCGGGCTGGCTGGCGGTCAAAGCCCTGGAAGTGGCTGCTGGCAAGGGTGCCCTGGGGACTGCTGAGCACGGGAGGCGCGCTTCCTGCAGCCACCGCAGTGGCCACGCCAGGGCAGTGGTTGTGGCTGGACTCAAGTGGCGCAGGGCCACCAGAGAGAGAAAGGGGCTGGGGGGGGTAGGCTGGTCCCAGCGCCTTGAAGCCTGGCCTGTGGCTAACGGCCCATTCCGGCCCATTCCTCATCCTGGGAAGACAGAGACCAGAGGTGGTACTCTCTCCCCCGCCCCCAATTCCTCCCCTCCCCCCCTCCTGCTACATCTGGGGCAGGGCAGGGCAGAGCTTCTTCTGGCTCCCCGTCTGGCTCAAGGAAAGGAGGTGTGCTCCAGCCCAGCCCTATTCCTGCCCCATTCTTTGCCCAGAATACATGTAGGGCTCCCTCTCATGCCGGCTTGCAGCAGTCCTGAAAAGCAGGAGGGGCCCCGAAGGCTTGGGGCGTGGAGCCAAGGCCCAGCCCTTCGGTGCCCGCCGACTCTGTGGGTGCCGGTGGCTTCTCTTTGACTGAGCCCCTTGTCGCCTCCCCCTCCCCGCTTTCACGTGGGCAGATGGAGTCCCGCACAGGCCCCTCACCCCCCCCCTCGGTTCTCCTCACCACAGAGGTGGACCGGCTGGTGCGGCGCTTCTCCCCCACCGGCGTCTCGCACTACGGCGTCCTCCGGGTGGACCCCCACGCGCGCACTCTCTATGTGGGCGCCAGGAATGCCATCTTTGCCCTCCCCTTGGGGGCCATCGACCAGCGTCCCAAGAAGGTGAGCCGCCCTCCCCGGACTCTTTTTCCTCCCTGGCAAGAAGGTGCAGTGGGGGGGGGGGAAGAGCACTCTGACACATGACTTCCCCTTGTCGTGGCATTGGGGGGGGGGACAGAAAAAGTGCCCCCCTCCCCTGACGGCTGCTGCTTGGCCTGGTCACTCTGTCCTCCCCCCCCACACACACACACACTGAGCCAGACAGATGGGGAATGGTGTGGGTGTGGGAGAAGACTCTTGCCAGGCCCCGGAGGGGGGAGGACCTGGTGTCGGCCCCTCTTCCCTTCCCTCCCTTGGGCTTGGGAGGGCAGGGAACTCCTAGCATGGGCATCGGGACCCCTTTCCCCGCCCTGCCTGCTAACCCCCCCCCCGACATTCCTTTGGGCTCTTGCAGATTTCCTGGACGGCTCCAAAGGCTCACCAGGATTCCTGCATGCAGAAGGGGAAGGAAGAGGCAAGTCCTGCTCTTGGGGGGGGGGCACAGCCGTGGGTGGCGGCCAGGGAGAGGAGGGGGCAGCGTCTTCTGCCTGGGAGGCCCTGGTTCTGGAGGGCCCCATCCACCCTTCCAGCGACTGCCATCTAGGGCCTCACGGAGAGCTGGTGGTTGGAGGGCTCAGGGCCATTCCCCCCCCCCATCACTGGCTCTGACTGGGCCGCCCTG